CTTGTAACGAGACTTGGTGTTGATGACTTTCCCATCTCCCCCTTCCTCTTCTTCGTCTGATCCCCTCCTCTTCGTCTGTGTATGTCTGGACCTGGTGCCTCTTTCCTGTGTATAGCGCCAGGCCCCTTCACGCCTTGTGATGAGCATGATGTATGTTTGGTCTGCGTTGAAACATTGATTGGGCTAGTCATTAGTATTCTAGCATTCTGCTTCCCTATCTGGTACTACGTGAAAGAGGTCAGTCCCGGTCAGGTCAGGACTTGCATCTAAATCTTCCACTGCACTAAAACACCATTTTGTATGTATCGGAATGCACATTGCTTGTTGAGATTCCACTTGCACTGCATTGTCCATTCAGTCCTTTTTATCACATTGAGAGTCCACTTGGTTTATATGTACATCGCCCAACTGGGCATGTAACAGAGCGCCATAGCTCCAGCGACGAGGGCAAAGTCTTCAGTAGCTCCAAGGAGGCAACTTGCATCCGCAGGTTGGTGCCTGGGCACTGGATCAGGGCAGGGGGATCTTCCTCCGCCCCACCTCTCCATCTCCACCTTCTTCTCTGCCCCTCTCGGTTCTTCTTCTTCTTCTCCTCCATCTTCATCTTCTCCTAACCTTCTATCTTCTCGGTTACTATGGGACAGAGGTCGATGGTGGGATATCAGTGACATCAGGACTGAGACTATTCCAGAGTAGGACGTTGTGAGGACTATTTGGAGATCTGACGCGAGCGGCATTTCGAGATTCTGGAACTTCGACATTTCGAGATTCTGTAACTTCGACATTTCGAGATTCTGTTCCGGTGACTGTGTTGGTGTCATCTCCTCCTCCTCCCTTCGTCCCTTCCCCCTTACATTCGTCCGTACGTTGTGTACAGGCTCTGGCGCCATCTTCCATGTCTGGAGCGCCAGGCCTCCTCACTCGATGAATGTATGTGTGTGAGCCTGTGTGTAGTCCGAGTCAGATGTGAGTTCAGATCCATGTTTTCAAGTCTTCCGCTGCATTGTATTGCTCTTTGTGGGCCGTGATGAATCCTCTCCCTCTCTCCCTCTCTTTAGACCCAACACTGACTCAAAACTGCTTTTTAGACCATGTCATCCTCTCCCTCTCTCCGTTTCCAAAAATACAGTACAGAACTTGTGTAGGTCGTGATGAATTTGAACACACCTCTACAGCACCGAGCAAATGTCTGCCTGGAGTTTTTAGAACTCAGCTGCTTTTGCAGAATGGGTGAATCGCAGGAGGCTGATGTCTTGAGTGTACTGATACTTTCCACCAAACCACAAACTGATGGTCACAGTGATAGCAAATACTAACCTATGTTTAACCTCAGAGATACCACACAAGGAAATGTGTGATTAACACAGACTGACCACAGAGTTACAACAGTTGTGATTAAAACAAGGCTGAATTTCCGGTCCCACTGGGGCCCCCTTCCCCGACCGGAACCGGGCCGGTGGTACCGGCCGGCGGAGAGTGCCGATTCCCCCCCGGTGGAAACTTGCACAATTCGACCGGGGGGGGGGGGTTCAAATATTTTCGGGGCCGGTAGGCCTCCATGTGGGTCGTGGAGGCCTCCCGGCCCCAAAAAAAAACAAACCGGGTCCTGTAGGCCCGCCAGAATGCTAGAAAACTGGCGGAACTGGCGGCCTATCTGGCCCCTTTTTTTAACATTCGGGCGGGAAACCGCACGAAGTTCTTGGAGGCGAGCAACGATCCCCAAGCATCAGCCCAACCTCCCCGCGTCCTGCCTCTGCTTTCGAACAACCATCCCCAAGACCCGTCACTTCGACACTTCGTCGAAAGTGAGGGAGGTCGAGAATGTGTCGGCCCCCCCAAGCCCATCTGCAAGCCATCAGACCCCCCCACATTCGCCCCGGCCTCGGATCGCCATCGCCCCGGCCCGCCGTCCATTGGTAACGGTGAGTCTGTCTGTTTCTTCTTCTTCGTACTATCTTCTTCTTCTTCTTCTTCTTCTTCTATTCTTCTTCTTCTTCTTCTTCTGGCAGAGCCGAAGTCCAAAGTTTGCGAAGTAGAGAGAGAGAGAGAGAGAGAGAGGGAGAGAGAGAAAGAGAGAGAGAGAGAGAGACAGAGAGAGAGAGAGGGGTAGTGGACGCGCGCGGAGGAGGGTGGTGGGTGTGCGCCCACCATCAACCCAGGAAAAGTTTTTTTGCAGATCACTGTTTTCTCTGCGGATTCGGGGAGATCTCGACAAGCGCAGTCCAACCCCATCATCAGAAAAATAAATAAAAAAAATTGACCCGGTTTTGGCCCCAACCAGATTTCCGGTTGGACCACCGGGGTTCCAACCGGCCCGGTTGGGTCCGGTCCGGTCCAACCGGCCGGTGGCCAGTGCAGCCCTGGATTAAAACAGACTAACCACAGTTAATGGTTAACGCAATTTAGCACAATATTGGATAGGAACAAAAATGAGGTCAGATTCACACAGCAGATGTTGATATACAACCACAATAGCAATCATCACTGCAGGTATTCGACCACAGACTCGGCGCAAGGTATGCGGATAGACAAATATGAAAAGTGGATCGAAGTGAGGGAAAAAAGGAAGGCGGCAACATGGACATGCGCTCGACAGGCTATGGAAAACTCTTGATTAAAGTTGATTTGGCAAACACAAGCATGCTCATGTCGAAAGCGTTCCCATGGATGGCCATTGCATTACACTGGGGGATTCACTTGTCAATACAGGACGGGACAAAATAGTGGTACCTTTACAGTGCCTGGCCCACACTCAGATGGGTGATCCTACCATTTTCCTATGAACACGAAGGCTAATCTAGCTATATGCTGAGACTTTTGCAACAAAACCTGATGATGGATGTATACAAACCATCTTCCGGCCCTGATACTGTCATGTTTGGGGGCCGTAACCACACAGATCAATCTTGAACAGGTTGATTGCCTGAGAGTGAGAGATGCTGAGATGTAAAGATAACCACAGCTGCCCTAGTTACAATTACACCCAAGCTGACAATCTGCCTGGCTAATCGATGGGAAAGTTGTGACAATCATTTGGAAGGCAACTATAACATGACTCAGGAGAGCACAAAGTAAAATACAAGTACAAAATTTATTGCAAGCCAGACGGCTTACACCATAGGTGGTCGCTACTGGTTTTCCTAGAAACTCTCTTTAGGCATACAGAGTTGCTGATGTGCGTATATGTGCTTACACTTGCTTTCGCTGAGGTCAAACAATCTGAAGTTGGGAAAAGCAAATTGCATATGCAGATTGCCACAGACGATAGACATCCACTCGTCCTGAACAGGAGGAAGGGAGCAAATACCTTGAGAGAACAGGGCTGCCGGTGCAACAGGGAGCATTGCGCACGATGACTTGTTGCTGTATCGTGACCGAGTCCATCGATAATGATTATCCGGAGTCCACATATCCCCCACACCCAACCGGTGCAGCGACTCTGCATTCCTGTCAGCAACCCTCGTTCCAATGAACTGTTTGGCGCAGAAGCAAGTTGAAGCACGTATACACATCAATAGCAAACACCTCTACCGGGTCAGCAACTGGCAACCCCTGTTCAGTTGAGCCGTTGGGCTCGGAAGCAAGTTTCAGCACATACAAACATCCACAGAGAACACCTCCACTGCTAACAACGTACCTGGGACGCCTGGCTGGGCATGCACAATCATGCCTGGCCGGGCATCCAGGGCTGTCGCTCGGACAGGCACGCGCTTAGACCAGCCCACGCAACTCAAAAGACCAGGCATTTTTTTCAGGCATTTTTGCCCCCACGAGCATAAGCGCATACACAGGCTCTTTTCTGTTTTCCAGTGTTTTGGGTTGGCAGAAGGGCATATAATTGGGGTTTAAGGGGATGTACCTTAATTTGAGTTTCACCTTCGATTCCATATGGAGTAAGAAATTTGCGCTCAGCCAAAAGTGGTTTGCATTGTATGGGAGAGCTGTGGCAGTGGCACGGTGCAAAGCCATGCAGCACCTTTGAGTTCAAGGCTGCCAGCAACAGGACTAGGGTTTTCACCAAGGCTGTGGTCCCCACATCTGGCCGGGCCTGGCAATCCATGATGACTACATTCATTCAATGTTCCCAACATTTGAGGATGTTGCCTCATAAGGTGCAGTCTAGCACAGCAAGTCTTGGATGTCAAACGGAATGTGAAGAGTGATGGTACGCTACATCACCCGTGCGGGCGAGGACTTGCGAAAGGTTCCAGACGGGTCAACATTGGCTGATGTATTACATTCATTCTTGAAAATAGAGAGTGCAGAGCAGTCCCCCTTCTATGGTGGTCTGCTCTTGACGTTGTGTTAGCTCTGAGATTATGAGTGTCTGGTTCACCGCGAGTGGTCTTCCCCTTTTGAGTTTTTAGGGTAGAGGGTATGGTGAGAACGAGCTTTGTTTCAATTGCTTCACTTCACGTGCTTTGTTGAACTGTTCTTCTTTCAGGGTGGAAACTTGAAAGAATGAATATTGGGTTAATGAGGAAACAGGGCGGGAAGGAGGGCGTTTTTTTTTGGGAATCTATATCGGTGAAGTACATCTTTTGGGAAAGGGTTTGGCAAACTGAGCTAGAATGGAGGAAGGAAGAGAGGAGACAAATCCATATTGGCTTTGAGTCGCTTCATTTCACATTCCTTTTTGTGGTGCTCGTTCGTGGAGGAAGCTTTATTTGATTACCGTTCTGAGGCGTTAGCTGAGCTACTGGCCAAATTTTCTTTAGTCTGGACAGTCATCTTTCGATGTGTGCTGGTTCTTGAGGTGGAGAGAGTTGGGTAGTTGGAGGATAGCTTCTTTAGCATTTTAGGCGCTTGTCTCTGTTTCACACATAATTTTCACATCAAGATGGGCCAGTCGGGGGGGGGGGGGGGGGGGTAGATGGTTGATATGGTGAGAGTTATGTCTGCGTTTTTCAAGCATTGCAGTTCTCTCTTTCTGCGGTGGGTTCTAGGGGGGCCTCTTTTATTTTTAGTTGGGGAAGAGGTTATCCTGCAGACGAGCGCACATAGCATAACGGAGCCCACAAAATACAGAGAGCAGGATGTCAGGCTGCTGTTGGGGGAATAGATCATCAACAAGTAGTGGGGAGAGAGGAGGGAGATGGCGCAAACAACGCTCAGCCACAGTGAATAGTTTTGAAGAGCCTTTAATTTGATTGATGAAAATAGAAAGGTGCAAAGCAACGAGTGTTTTTTTTCAATTTAAAAAAAATCAAATTTGTATTTGACTCATGTATGTGGGAGTGCTTTACAATGTTCAGTGGAACAAAGTTCAACAAACACGAGATAACATGGTAGTGGTTGAAACTTGAAACAGGCCGCACCGTATTCTTAAGTTTTGTCAAGTGATTTGACCCTCCTGCATGAGGGCCATGAGGCCCGTGAAGGCCAATGCCTCGACAAAGGGCAGACCTGTGCTGATTTCCTCTAGTTGTAGTTGGCTCCGCTCAGCCGTGAGCTTAGTTGCCACATACTCTATCAGTACATAATGCATCCGGGTTGTCTGGTAACTTGAAACATAGAAATCTGCACTTTGTGGATCATGTCGCGTTCTTCGTTTCCTTCCACCCTCTGTGCGCAACTTGCTACCATTTAAGGCTGTACCCGCTCTGCAGCAAGTGAAGCCCCAGTCACTATGACTTGTTCTT